TCTTCTTCAAATGCTCTGTAGAAGTAACCAGTGAAGCTAGTCGACTGTTTTTCTTGTTGGGAGGTTTTATTTACAAAATAAATCCATTTAAGAGATGCAGGACTATTCAGATATTGTCTGTTTTCTTCTTTTATTTTTCTCTCATACATTACATCCTGATTGTAGCCCCACTCCACCCCCCACTCGCACACAACTCCTCTCCCCCAGATCCACTCCTCCACTTTTCCCTTCAGAAAAGAGCAGGCCTCCCAGGGATATCAACCAAACACAGCCTAACAAGTTACAATAAGACTAGGCACATACTCTAATATCAAGGCTGAAGAGGCAACCCAGGAAGAGGAAAGGGTCCCAAGGGTAGGCAAGAGAGTCAGACAGTCCCAGCTCCCATTGTCAGGAGCCCCACAAGGACACCATGCTGCACATGTTCTGTTTGGGTTTTGGGGGGGTTTTGTTGTTTTTGTTTTGTTTTGTTTTTTACGAGACAGGGTTTCTCTGTGTATCTGTGGCTGTCCTGGAACTCACAGAGGTCCACCTGGCCTGCCTTCCTATTGCTGGGGATTAACAGCTGCACCATCATGCCGGGCTTTCTGTTTGTTCTTATGTAAGTTCTGGTAAATTGTATTTTCCTGGAAATTTTTCATCGACTTTTCCATATTTTCCATAAGATAACTGGTGTTATCTTTTAACTGTTTTCTTCACATATAACATTTGGGGGTTTTTGTTTGTTTGTTTCATTTTGTTGGGATTTTTTGTTTGTTTGTTTGTTTGTTTTTGTTTGGCATAGTGTTTCTCTGTATAGGCCTGGCCACCCTGAAACTCACTCTGTAGACAAGGCTGGCTTAGGACTCAGAAATCTGCCTGCCTCTGCCTCCAGACTCCTGGGATTAAAGGTGTGCACCACTACACCTGGCTTGATATGTAACTTTTATACTAAGACAAGCATCATAATTACATAATTTACAACTTAATGAGTTTTCACAAACTAAACATACTTGATAATGTAAATATATCCTCAAGATGTATAAATAGAACATTAATTAGAACATTAGTTAATTCATTAATGAGAACATTAATAGCAAGCACTCTAACCCACAAGCCAGACATGATTATCACTGATACATCCAAATGGAAATCTTTAGAATTACATGCAAATTAGTGATGGTTTTTGCTCAACATTTCTTTTAACACATCAGCCTTCTTTCCAGCATTTTCTTTTTTGCTATGAAATCTTTCAGAAGATATGTGGGTAGAAAACACGAAGTTGTGTGGCCTAAAAATGTCTTAAATGCATCTTCAAGTTTTACTCTTTATAGCTGTCACATTGCTGGCTTTATTATTGCTGGTGTGACATCAGGTCCACTAGTGGATATTTCAGGTTTTCTCTCTCTGGATTTTTTGGAAATAATTTTGGTTTTGTGTCTTGAAGGCTCACTAAAGTGTATATGGAGGACTTTCTGTTTTAAACTGTTCCACTTGGGATTTGTTGGGCTTCTTGGATCTGAGAATTCAGCCATTTACCTGTCTTTTCCCATTATCTCTGGTACATCCCTATTGGGTCTCCCAGCTAGTGAATTTAGAGATAGTAGGAACTCCAGCATCCTTCTCTTGAATCTATAATTTCCTTCCTTCCTGTTTGCTTCCTTCCTCACTTCTTCCAACTTCGTTTTATTACCTGCGTGTGTGTGTGTGTGTGTGTGTGTGTGTGTGCGTGTGTGTGTTATCTGTGTGTATGTGTATGTATCTATGTGTGTCTGTATGTGTTTATATGTGTGTATGTATCTGTGTGTTTCTGTGTATCTGTGTGTGTGTGTGATGTGTAAGTGCTACATGTGTGCCTGCTGTCATATGCATGTGGAGGTCAGAGGACAGATATTTTGGGAGTCTGCTCTCTCCTGTCACTATGGTTCTGGAATTGAACTCTGCTCAATAGGCTTGCAAACAAGCACTTTTACCTGCTAGACCTTCTAGTCAGTTTCCCTCTGTCCCTCCTTTTCCTTCTTTCTGTTTTCTATTTCTTTGTTGTTGTGTTTTTCAAGGTGGCAATATGCTGTTAGCTAATCTCAAACTCATGGAACCAAGTGATAACTGTGGCACTTAAGTTACTGGTATCACTCGCTAGTCTTGGCTTCTTTCTATTGCAGCTCAGTTGATTTTTATTCAGATTTTTTTTAATACTTTTTAAAACAATCATATTTTACATACCAATCCCAGTTCCTCCTGTCCTCCCGCTCCCCACACCATCTCCCCACCCCACCCTTCCATCCACTCCTCAGAGAGGGTGAGCCCCCCATGGTAATCAACAAAGACTGTCATATTACTAGAGGCAGGACCAAGCACACACACACACCCCAGTATCTAGGTTGAGTGATGTATCCCTCCCTAGGGAATGGACTCCAAAGAACCAGTTCATGCACTAGGGATAAAACTGGTTCCACTGCTAGAGGTCCCACAAACTGCCCAAGCAATCCATCTGTCACCCACATTCAGAGGATCTAATTCGGTATTATGCAGGTTCCCCAGCTGTCAGTCTGGAGTCAGTGAGCTCCCACTTGCCTGGGTCAGCTGTTTCTGTGGGTTTCCCTATCACGGTCTTAACCCCTTGCTCCTCCCTCTCTACAACTGGACTCCAGGAGTTCAGCCCAGTGCTTAGCTGTGGATCTCTGCATCTGCTTCCATCAGTTGCTGGATGAAGGTTCTATGATGACAACTAAGATAGTCACCAACCTGATTACAGGGGAAGGCCAGTTCAGGCACCCTCTCCACTATTGCTTAGAATCTTAAGTTGCCGATTTCTTAATTTTTTTCTTTACCTGTGTTTAGCCTCCTGTTTAGCATAACTTTTTAAAATTCTTTATATGTCATCTTTTGCATTTTTAAGTACAAGAAATTCTTTTGTGGTTTATGTTTTAAATACTGACAAAATTTAACTGCCTCTGGTTCCTTCATATTTTGAGATATGAATAGCTCTTAATCATGTTGAAAATTCTTAACGTTTTGGATATTTTCAGTATATGCAGGTCTGTGATCTGATTTTATAGGTATGGGTGATTGATTTTAATTCATAGTGATTTGTTTTCCTGTGTATTTAGTGATTTTAAAAACTGCCAGCTCATATTTCTGAAGCTTAGCTCAGGTACTTCTTCCTGATTAAATCAAAGGTGCATTTCTCCAGAGAGTATTTGGACTTCTTCTTGGCATTAATCCATGCAGGCAATAACCACAGTTTTATAATCTCAGTTCTATCTTGGCAGCTAATTTAAACTCCAGATACACATGAGCATAGCTTGCCAATATTTTGGCTTCCAAAATATTCTTTTACTTTGCTATCAGCTTAACCATATATTACAAGTCATTTATAACATTATATTTTAGCTATTTTAGGTTGCCATATAATACAGTTTTACAACAAACTTAATCTACAATATCCTGTGTTGTTTTTTTTTAATCCGGATGTAGCTATTCAGACTCCAATATCAAGAAAATCCAAGGAGTTGACTTTACAATTTGTTAGAAATATATCTGTCCATTAGGTATGGTGCTGAGCATCTTGGATCCCAGAATTTATGAAGCAGAAACTGGAAGGTACCTGTGAGTTCAAACCCAAACAACCTGGTCCTCATTGTTGCAATGATAGCCAGGGCTTCATTGTGAGACCCTGTCTCAAAAACAAAGAATGGGGGGAGATATTTGTCATATAATAACTTATTTTCAAGGATAGGAGATGTGTCACTGAGGGTGGGATTTGAGGATAGTCCTCTCTGCTTCATGCTTGTGGATCAAGATAGAAGCTTTTATCTACTGCTCCAGTGCCTGCCTGTCACCGTGCTTCCTGTCTGATGGTCGGAGATTCACCCTCTAAACTATAGCTCACTGATAAACTTCCTTCTATAAATTGCTTTGGCCATGGTGTCTGCACAGCGATAGAGTAGCAACTAACACAATATATATGTTGTAGGAAATCTAACGCTTGGAAAGAATTATTGATAACATTAATTCTTGCTGCCTGCACAATTCTGGTTAATATTTTTCTAATCAATAGAAAAATGTCTAATAATTTTCACCCATTATGGTTTCTAATTAGGTATTTGGGGATTACTAGTTATTTCGAATCACATATTGCTTTTATGTCTTCTTCCCATAATGGCTTAATAGTTCTAAAAGTGTTTATTGTTAGGACACAGAAAGTTACCAAAGATAAGCAAAACAAAATTTTAAAATGTCAATTAATGGCTTATTTTCAAAATATCTAATAACACCAAGATCACTTTGCTCAATGAAGGGGAAGCCCTTGAGGAAGAAATGCCAACCCCTGTCCCAGCCATTCTTGGTATTCTTGAGACAAACAGTTCTTAAAAAGCTAATGAAATTGTTTTCTTCTAAGCCCCCAGCGCACTAGCTCCATGTCCTACACTGTAATAACACTATAACTAATTGCTTGTGCAGAGCATATATACAGCTATTATATAGTAAGGTCTTTTCCAAATTCTTATCATCAAGATACCACCATCCTAATGTAGACACTGGTAATTTGGTCTCAGCAAATTGTGAAGCCAATAGAAAACAGAATTATGCCCAACATGGTTTTCCCAGAAAGACATCCTCTACCATAAAAACCTAGACAAAACATAGAACTTTTTCTCTGGAGGATCATAATCGCAATATAATGGAGAGGATCCTAAAGCAACATGAGTCTCAGCCTTGCCTCGAGTCTAGAAAGAGGACTCCTGCACCCTTTAACAGACTCCACTAAATCTTGAAAATCTGAGAAGCCAAGAACAGAGTCAGTTCAACTACCGCAGCCCGCTAGATGGCGCACGCAGGAGCACACCTCCTGGGCATAGGCGGCCCCAACAACGCCACGCCTCCGTTTCCTAGGAGACTGGACGTGCACCAGCCAGCCTATATCCGGTTCCGAATTGTCCCGCCCGCTTGCGCGCTCTGCGTGTGACGTCACGCTTCCATATAAAAGCGTGCGCTCAGCGCGGCTCCTTCTCTTCCCACGGTCGCGGGATAAAATGGCGCCGGTGAGTGCTTGTGTGTGCGGCCACATTAGCGGGAGCGCGGCAGCTTCTGCGTGTAGTGAGTGGGAGTGGGGGCGCCTCAGCAGAGAAGACGGGGCGGTAGAGTCGTCCCGGGGTCTCCGCTGAGGTCAGAGTGCGGGCCTTCTGAACCTTCCCTGGCGGCCATGCGGCCCGGCGGGGCTGCACGCGGGCCGCTGGTAGTCAGCCAGGTGACGGCTCGCGAGCGCGGACTCAGGCCTCTCGGTTTCTCCCTGGCTCCTGATGGCCGGTCCGCGGCTGTGTGTGTTCACCTTAGCGGTATAACAGACATGGCTTAAACATTTCGGAAAGTCATTTTAACAATATATTTTTTTAGCATGGTGTTGCTGAGTTAGGATTCAAAGTTGAGTGACGGCTAATGAGGCCGTAAGCCCATCGGGATTACCTTTTCGTTCCACAGCCCTGAGTCCCATCATTCGCTCACATGTTAGTTCCGGGTTTGTGATAATTGGAGGGCGGGGAACAGTTTACAGAGCTACCAGAGGGCGGACGCTTATTACTTGTAGGTAATCATTTGGGTGACTCTATTTGTGTGAATTGGAATAAGGCATAATGAAACCCATTACTGTTTATGCAGGCTGAAATACACTGTTTGAATTTAGACAGCCAGGTGGTTTGATTCTCAAGTACACTACAAGCTACAGTAGGAAACGATCCTTTGGGATCAAGCTAGTATAATGTAGATTTACATTTGTGAGGCATTTAGTGACAAAATGGAAAGTAACATTGGGGTTGTCAAAAACTTGGTTTAAGCAAAATTAAGTATTTGTACCCTTTTCATACAGTATAGGCTCCTTTAAGAGCCGAGTAATATTTCTTGTAAAACAACATTATAGAACATAACATCGAATTGGCAATTTTTCCTTGATGATTAGGTATGTAAGTTGAATAAACTGCCTCAATTATGTTTCTAGCAGAAAGATAAGAAGCCTAAAAAGTCAACTTGGAGGTTCCATTTGGACCTTACTCATCCAGTGGAAGATGGCATTTTTGATTCTGGAAATTTTGTAAGTGTCTTTCTTTCTGTAATTGTATAGTTCTTGGCATTTGTCGTACTTGATATTAACCTAAACTGTACTCCTAGGGTACCTTCCCTAGTGATTGTCTAGGGTTTCCTTCCCTAGTTTTGCACTTTTTCTGTTTGAAAATAGGAACAGTTTCTGCGGGAGAAGGTTAAAGTCAATGGAAAAACTGGAAATCTTGGAAATGTTGTTCACATTGAACGCTTGAAGAATAAAATCACAGTTGTTTCTGAGAAACAGTTCTCTAAAAGGTTAGTTTTTGTGTTTTAAGTTGTAATGGAATGTTTTGCAGATGTAAGGTGTAGCATTTTGCTAAAATGTGTTAATGTGTTTTAAGGTGGTTGTACAATATAGAATGAAAGGTTTCTTAATATACTCGAAAGTCTCAAACATAATGATAGTATATTGTGGGTAGTAGGACAGCAGATTTCATGGGATGTGTATTGTACATAGAGTTGGATGGCTATTTTATTATCTGCCTCTGACCTGACTTAGTGCCATCTCGGCCCAGACTGACAGCAGCCGAACCTACACTGACTGAACTAGCCCTCCCTGAGTTCCGGTGACAGTGGGTAAATAGAACAGTTTATGAGGCTACTGGCAGTGAGACCTGGATCTATCCCTAGTGCACAAGCTGGCTTTCTGGAGCCCATTCCCTGTAGGACTCAATGTGGTGACAGGGCAGACTTGACCCCCATGGGAGATCATGCCTTCTCTGAGGAGCTGATGGGAAGAACTGAGGTTGATATGTAAAATTAGAAATAAAAAGCCTAGTGAGTTTGGAGAGATGAATGTGGCAGTGTGTGCTGTAGTGGGGATTCTGTATTTTAATAAAGCCATGGTTTTTTGTCTCTTAAGGTACTTGAAATATCTTACCAAGAAATACCTTAAGAAGAATAATCTCCGTGATTGGCTTCGTGTGGTTGCATCTGACAAGGAGACTTACGAACTTCGTTACTTCCAGATTAGTCAAGATGAAGATGGGTCAGAGTCTGAGGACTAGTTGGCCTTTTTATGCTTAAAACGAAAATTGGACTTTGTTCACAAATAAAAATCACTGTACTCTGAAAAACCAGTGTTGCTTGTAAATGTACTGAGCTCCTAGAAAAGGTGCTGTTGACATGACCATCTTAGTCATGCCCCTCTAGAAAATAGACATTTGGGGGGCTCTTAACCCTAGTAAAATAGGAATTGGAAGCTTTAAAGCAAAGTACAGACTGGGAGATAGAGGCAGATGAAAATGTTTTTCCAGTATTCAAGGGGCTTGAGTGGGGCCTTGGTGGAAATTCCATTATTAGCAAATGCCTACCAACCTGCTTTGTGGATTTAAGTAGTTGGCTTTCCGTAGGGGTCAAGTGCTTGGCAGTTTTCCTGAACTATCTAGTGTAGCAAGACTGAATTCTCAACTTTGAATCCTCTTTCATCTTTCCACATGCCTGTCTTTGTTGGCACTGGGCAAATTGTGTTAAGAACATCCTTTTAGCTTTTACTCATGAATACCACGGGATGTTGGAAAATATTTTGGTGCTAAAAAGGAACTTGAATAATTTCATTATATGAGGCAACAAAAACTTGGGTCTGTCCTAAACAAGAAGGCAGTATAGGGCAAGGGAGGTAGTTCAGTCAAGTGGAAAAACAGTGATCCCAGGGTATTGATTGGGATCTGGTAAAGATGCATTAAAGTGTTTTGGAGAAATGGGTGGATTCAACAAGTTTTCAGAGAATAAAACAGTGATGTAGTGGTATAGACAGTAACTTACTTTGCATCTTGTGGAGGGTAGTTAAGGTCCAATTTCTGGATCTAGGAACCAGCCATGTGTGCCTTACATATAATAGAAGATGGGGGCCATGTGTCTGGTTTCATAAGCAATCTAATCAGTCTACCCTCATATCCTAGTCATTTCTCAAAGGCCCCTATGTCACTTGATTTCAGTGTTTCCCGGGGAAGTGTTTCAGTTTAGGTTGAAATGAATGTGAGGTGCTTTTGTCATGACCAAGAAATGACTAGGTTTGGAGCCTTAGGGATGAAGGTGAAGAGATCACAAAATGGCATGGTGGGTCAGTCCTGTAACCAATGCTTCCAGGAGTGTAGGCAGGATCTGATGTTCAGGGTCATCTTTGGTTTTATAGACTGGGGCAAGGCCTACATCAGACCCTAGCTAAAAAAAAAAAAGGAATTGAAGAATGCAGACAGGATCAAGGCCACATACCATTTTCTTCATGCCTTCCCTACAAGAAGCTTCTGAAAATACATCTGTAGTCATGTGTTAAAAAGTTTCCAAGTTAATTTTACATTTAAGATGCACTGTTATTTAAGATAACATGATTCTAAGGAGTTATGAGTATTTTTAATTAATTTGGTAGCTGCATGCTAGGTATTTTTTGGGGATACTGCCTTAATCAGAAATTCCTACCTTCAGTAAGCTAATAGTCCAGTGTAGGAAGACAGCAAAGAAAAACTGGCATGTGTGTTTAATGGCAGTATGCTATGAAGGAAAAGAAGGCAGTGGGGGAGGGGGAGGGCTACTGTGGGGACAGAAAAGGCTTTACTGGGAAAGGGCCCTTGCAATATAGTCCTTCAGGTGTCTGGGGTCCATCACTCAGGGCTGTGCAGAGGCAAAGCATGAGGACAGTGGTATGTGATGGACCAAAAGCTGTTGTCTCAGGAAGGCCCAAAAGGCAGAGTCTGAGAGGAAGCAGCAGAGCGAGATGCCCATCAAAGTTTACCCAGTGAGCTGCTCCTTCAGTTAGACCCTACCTTCCACAGTTCCACCACCTCCCAAGAGTCAATTCAGATTGTGAATCTACTACCCATGAAAGCAAAGCCCTCACGATCCAGTCATTTTCTCCACTCAGGACATCTCAGCAGCTGAGCCTGCTGAGCAATGCTGCTAGTGGGGGTGGAGCCTTCACATATAACCCTTGATGGGGGATGCTTCATATCTACACATCCTGGGCTGCAGCACTGCAACTGTTGCCAGCTGTGTGTGTGTGTGTGTGTGTGAGAGAGAGAGAGAGAGAGAGAACACTGCCTTGTTTTCTGAGTCAGTGTCTCAACCTGAAGCTCACCATTTCCCTCTAGTCAGGCCAGTCAGTCTCGGATTCTCCTGTCTCCACTCCTCAGTGCTGTAGTGACAGGCACAAACCACCACAGCCAATTTTCACACAGAACTCAGATCTGCATGCTTGAACAGTCAGCACTTCACACACTGAGCCATCTCCTGGTCCCCATAAACTTTTCTGAGAACATAGCCATGCCATTATTATTATTATTATTATTATTATTATTATTATTATTATTATTATTTTATCATTTTATTATATTGTATTCACAGTACAGTTGAGTACTATCTAGCCCTTTAAGAAAAAACTTTGCTTTGGATTTGACTGGGGCTAGAGAGTTAGCTCCCAAGCACAACCATGGGCTGCAAGCAGATCCTATCCTTGCTCTGTAGCCTTCTCAGGGCTGCTGGGGACACACCAGCCAGTTTCCCTTGGAGGGAGAAGACCAAGATGGAAGCTGCTGTGTGTGCAGACAAATCTCAGAGGCAGCATGCCATCTTTCTCCTTTATTTTATTGATCACACACTATTAGGACAGAGGAGGCAGGATTCCTGGGACAGGAGTCCTGGGAGAGGGGATGTCCTGTGTCTTGTGGAGGCTGGCAGGTTACAAAAGCAAAAACCCAGTTAGCCAGGTTATAACAAAGCAGATAGTCACGGCTATATATTTCTGAAGGTGGTGGTGGGGTCACTGAGTTAGGGTACTGGGAACTTTTTTCCAGGGATTTGAAGTTAAATTAGGGATCAAGATGGCTGCCTAATATAAAATCAAGTTTCTTTAGCCATCACAGCCTACTCCATGCTCAGAAGAAGCCTTGGAAAAGAAGTAAAAAGCTTTTTTTTTTTTTTAAGGCATTGTTTGTGGCACAAATGTTGCAACAAAAGATTCCCAGTGATACAGTTTTGGAAGTGTATAAATGACTCCCAGGAAAGAACAACCCTCGAAATTTCTTTGAGCCCAGCAACCACACCACCAAACTGTACCCACTAACCAAGGTTTATTCTCCCTTTCTCTGCTAGTTCTCTTCATTCCCAGACTTATGAACAGGAGCCATAGGGCCTTCTAAAGCCAGGAGAGATGTGCCTTAGGACTGTCCGATACACAGAGAAACATCCTGCATCCCAGTGTAAGCCACAAAGTAAGTATTCTGACCTCACATGGCTACTGTTGACTTCTCAGGGAACTATGAATTCCTCACATTTCTCAAGCCCCATTTATCTCTCTGTGTTTCTAGATAGACATCTAAATAACTCCAAGTCAAGTAATTTAAAACATTACTCATCCCTCCTAAGTGAAGAAAGGCGACCAAGATCCACTGAAATGAGCAAAGTCAACAGCATTAAAGAAAATGATTAGGATATACACATTCAAACAACTAACCTAGAAGAAGGTTTCCCCCAGCTGACTGTAATCTAGGAAGGAAGAGAAAAGCTCAAAGTTGATACTTCCTGAAGAGAGTTCAGTGGTCTAGAGGCTAAACAGAACACATCCACACACAAACAAGATACTTCTGGTGGGAACAAGAAGCACAAGGAAGTGCCTTACCTGCAAGAACCTTCAGTGTGACCTACTCAGTGCAGGAGCACCCAGCCCAGTCTTGCCAACTCCAGACTGCATGCCCTTTGTAAGTTAGAGCCTGGATCAGCTGATACCTTGCATTTCAAGTATTTATTTTATTTACTTGTTTGTTCGTTTTGGCTTACCTCTTGTAAATCCTTTCCCTGAGTTCCAAACCTGCCCTCTTCAGGGCACTCTACTCCAACTCTGCAGAATACACAAGTGAGTTTTTACTACTGTAGACTTTCAATGAACTAGCATGTGAGTTTATACCTACCTACACACAGTAGATTTGTCACCTCAGTCCTATTGCTTAAGAACAAGAATACCAGGCTCAAGAGGTGGCTTGGCAGTTTAACAGAAATCGTTTCCAAATGCACTTTTATTTTCCAACTGAAGAAAACAATTTGAGTCTCTAGATATAAATACTGGTTTGACACCCTCCCCAATAACAAAACAAACAAAAAAGCAACCAAACAACAATGGTGGTTAAATCACATGCTAACTGCCACCAGGAAAATTCAATGACCTAGATCCAGAGTTCTAGAAATTCTACAAGATAAATAGCCAGTATGTTTGCAGCATTGATAGAAAGGCAAAAGTCACATTGTAATATGTGGGATGATGGGGTTTGAATTTGAAAAGTTAGTTGCCAATAAGCATGTATGGAACACATGGTCCCCAACTGGTGGTGCAAGGCTTTAGGAGGCCTGTCATAGCCAGAGGAAGCAAAGACTGAGAACATGATGTTGAAGGGTATACCTGGTGTGTGTGTGTGTGTGTGTGTGTGTGTGTGTGTGTGTGTGTGTCCTTCCTTTATGCAATGAAGTGAATAACCTTTCTCCATGTTTCCATCACCAAGTTGCTCTACTTTACCCCGGCCCAGAATCAACAAGGACTAGAAACTGAACTCTCTGAAGAATCAGGCAAAATAAATTCCATTTATTTGTCGGTACTTGGTCACAGTGAGGAGAAAAGTAATAAATAGATCAGCTTTTTAGAAATGAATCTGAGAAAGGTGGCAAAGCCAAATACAGTATACATTTTTGATAGGCAAGCAATATTGAACATGAACCAGCTGCTTAAAACAGTAAAAATTGCTGGGCAAGGTGGCATATGCCTTTAATTCCAGCACTTGGGAGGCAGAGGTAAGTGGATCTCTGATTTCAAGGCCAGCCTGGTCTATATATCAAGTTTCAGGCCAGCCAGGGTTACATAGTGAGACCTGCCTCAAAAGCAAAAAAACAAGACAAAACAAAACAAAAAAGTAAGAATTACACCAGCATCAAAGAAATCACACTGGAGAGAACCCTTATACATGTTAGCATTGTAGAAAAGCCTTCATCCAACACAGTGCCCATTATTCAGGGGGGAAAAATATTCCATACTGGAAAGATAAGGGATAACATTCATTCTATCATTCCATGAGAGAATTCACAACTGAGAGAAATC